AGAATTTATACAAAAAAAAAAAAAAAAAAAGGAAAGGAAAGGAGGGAGGGAGAGAGTGAGGGAAGGAAGGGAGAGAAGAAGACAACAGAGAGAAAGAGAATCTATTCCTGTGTTCCAAACTTAAAACGCACTTAACAAGTAAAATTTCTAAAGTGCATAATATCTTTTGTTAAAAAAAGTTGATTTCTAAAGATTGAATTTAGGATCAGAGCGTGTTGGAAGTGACAGACCCCTAAACAGTGGAGCTGCCTCGGGCAAGATCACCTAGGGCCAAGGATGCCCAAGGAAGGGAAGGACGAGCTGGCCCCCTCCTGCACCCTCCTCTCCACCACCCTCCCGACTTCAGCCAGAGCCCCTCCTCTGCAGTCTGCACTATATAGTCATCTTATGAACCCAATATATTGTTTGAATTAAAAGTTTCTGGTGGTTTTTTTTGAAGCCATTTAACTAATAAAGAGAAACAAGAGGCCCAAGGTCATACAACGAAGGCATCACCACAATTCCCAGGGGGCTGGCTAATAGAACCCCTCAATTCAGATATCACGAATCCAATCACACACGTTGGAGGTGGGGTGAGGGGTGCTGCCCCAACCCAGCTGCCCCTGGCTGGGCAGCTTGCATATATATACATATATGAACTGAAACCAAACGCATTGCTGTCAAGTCGATTCTGACTTATAGCGACCCTATAGGACAGAGTAGAACTGCCTGATTCTCTCAGAGTTTCCAAGGAGCACCTGGTGGATTCGAACTGCTAACCTTTTGGTTGGCAGCTGTAACAGTTAACCACTACGCCACTATACTCTGGCTCAATTCCAGAAGCTTCCATGGGAAGTCACCAGGCTCCTCTAAACAGCATTCCTTTAGGACAGGAACTCCAAGCCAGGCCCAATTAGGAACTAGAAAACCTGGCAGAGGGCAAATGCCCAGACCACAGGGGCTCAGAGCTGCAGCCTAGCTCCCTGCAGGCCTCACTGTTGAAAACCTTCCTGAAACATCCTCTTGACTGCCTCGATGCATAATTTAATCTTCCTTTGATGACTCCGGATCTCGCCCTGCCTCAGACCACGTGGAGAACATCAGTTACTGATGGACACAGGTGGGGAGCAGAAGGGAGGGGCAGGACCCGGGTTGACCAGCTGACCCTGCCCTGGGAGAGGCAGGGGAGAGCTGGAGGAGACTGCAGGGGGCACACCCCAGCCTGAGCCCTGGGGGCTGGAGATTGCAGAGGAGGAGAATGGGAAGGCCCTCCCCAACCAAGAAGGAAAGCCCCCAGAACAGGTGGGACAGGGCAACTCCCAGGGGTCTCTGAAGGTAGAATCAGAGAGCTAGAAAGGGGCAGGGGTGATGCTGAAGGCCCGGCTAGGTGACCGTAAGGGAAAGGTGGCATAATATAGTGCCCCACAGAGTGTAAAAAATCTTGGCTTGAAGGGACAGAAGAGGGCTTAGAGTCACACTGCCCACTCACTGGCTGGTGACCATGGGAAAGTTACTTAACCTTTCTGGTTCTATGGCTTAGCCCACAGTCTGATGAAGAAAGGGTGGAAGAGCATACATCAGAATGTTGACAGGGCTGGCTCACGGGGGAGACTGGGTGTTTGCTTTGGTTTGGTTTGGCTTGTCTGTATTTCCTAAATTTTATGCAACAAACACACATTATTATAGAATTGAAATAATATTCAGAGAGAAAAACAAAGCAGTAGGGATTGCAATTTGTCTCCAGAGGGATATACCAGATGAGAAGGCAAGCCTGGCTATTGAGACTGAGGGTGGAAGGGCGTGTTCACCTGGTCAGACAAGGGTCCAGGGGTGATAGCCCTGAGTCCTAGAGGACAGGTATAGTGACATTTTCTGCCTAGGAGGCAAGTCTCCAGGTCCCTACCTAGGAGGCACCAGGCAGAGGGAGGTGGTGTGGTGGAGAATGTGGTCTGTCCACCAGGGGTAGCACCTCTTCCATTGGCTATTCTCAGCCAATATTCTCGGAACGTCATCTCAGAACTCTGGGCCTCAGGACTCGGGCCAGATCTCTTCCCAGACCATCCATCTGTCCAGCAACAGCCCTGCTAGGTTCAGCTGCTGCCACTGCCTTTGCTGAAGCAGCCCTTTGAGGAGCGCTGGGCTTGGTGGGTGCACAGCACCCTCCTTGCCAGTCCAGTTAATCCTCAGAAGAAAGTCAAACATTAGCCCGGGGAGCAGCTTATGCCTTATATAAGCCCCCCTGGGGGAGGTACAAACACAGGTTGTTGGAGCTGTGCTACTCAACTACAGCAGCTGCCGGACGGAGACAGAGCAGGGGCCTCAACTCCATTGTCCATCAGACCCGCCGGAGCCAAGCCCAGCCAGGTGAGGAGGATGGAAGCCCCAAGCCCAGGCCCCCAGGAGCCTCTCGGGAAGCCCCCAAGGTCAGGCCCTGCCTCTTCAGTGCAGCTGGCCAAGCCCTTCATGCTCTCTGGGGATGTGTTGGAACCTCTCGGCTGCCCCAACCTGGTGGGCCCAGCCCCAAGGAACAGCCAAACGCCAGGAGGTCTCTCCCAGAGAGCCTACAGCCCCTGTCCCAGCTGGCAGCCTTAGCTCTGCTGACCTTGTGTGTCTATCTGGGGCCCAGTCGGGGAGCTCTCCATCCACCCCTGCCATCCAGTCCTATGTAGCCAGCATTCAGGGTGGGCAACTTGGTCCCTGCCTGTGTGGTCTGCACTGCCCCATACATGCAGCATGTGTGACCAGCCTAGCTGAGCACACACATGCTCATATCCACAAGTACATACACACACACATGCACACACACACACACATACTCACACTGTTGTGCCCTTATGCTCCGACATAAAGATACACACACCAGTAGACACCCTGGTCCCTAGGTGGTGCAAATGGATTGCACTCAACTACTAGCCTAGAGGTTGGTGGTTCGAACCCACACAGCAGTGCCATGGAAGAAAGGCCTGGCGATCTGCTTCCCTAAAGATTACAGCCAAGAGAACCCCATGGAGCAGCCCTACTCTATAATACATGCGGTCACCATGAGTTGGAATCAACTAGACAGCAATGGGTTTGGTTTTTGGTTTTTTGTTTTCTTTTTTTTTTTTGGTTTTGTAGACACCCTGTACACACACCTGCACACACACCCACACCTGTGATCCCACACCTATACAAGCAATTGAGTACATCCTGTGCACATAAATCTGTGGCTACACACCCTGAACACCCACATCCTCACACGTCTATACATACAGTGTTCCACATTCTTGAGCTCACAAGCATATCCTTGTGCATCCACACCTATGCGCACACCCACACATCACCCCCACATGCACACAGACCTCTCCCTGGTACCTTGCCCGCAGCACTGGCTCATCTTGCCTGACGCCATGACCTTCTCCGAGCTCCTGGACCGCGTGGGTGGAGTTGGCCCCTTCCAGCTCCTACACCTGACCCTGATTGGGCTCCCTGTCCTGGGCATGGCCAACCACAATCTGCTTCAGATCTTCACAGCTATCACCCCCGTCCACCACTGCCGCCCACCCCCCAATGCCTCTGCAGGGCCCTGGGTGCTCCCCACGGGCCCAGACGGGAAGCCTGAGAAATGCCTCCGTTTCATACATCCACCCAACGCCAGCCTGCCCAACGGCACCCAGGGGGCCACGGAGCCATGCCTAGATGGCTGGACCTACATCAGCTCCAGGGACTCCATTGTGTCAGAGGTACGCCAGGCAACCACCCAACCCCCCTCCACATGGCACCCTGCAGCCTTGAGAACACCCCTTACCGCAGGCACGCCCACATGCCCTGCACCATGCATGGGCAGGACAGGAGGTGGGACCTAGACTTCCTAGGATCGGGGAACAGGACACTGGGCCAGTTAGCATCCCTGAGGGCAAAGTGGAAGGTGTGTGAGGTGCAGATCATTCCACTACCGAGGCTTGGTTTCTTCACAACTGGAGTCCAAGCATTTATTCAACAAACAGCTAAGGAGGGCTAGCCTGTGACAGGCACAGTGCTCAGCTCTGGGGATACAAAAATGCAACATCCCAGCTCCCATGGTGTCTGCAGTCTAGTGGGAATGACACCAAGTAATGGCAGGATCACAGAAAGAAATGTGGAACTACAGCTTCAAAGAGGTACTCAGTGCTGAGATCTTAGATGCCGGGACTGGATGTAGAGGCTGGGGGGCAGGATCAGAGGAAGCTCCCTACGGAAGTTGCCCCGGAACTGAGATACCTTCACACCATCAGGGCAAAGGTTAAGCAGGTAGTGAGGGAGAGGGAAAATTCCATTTTGCTCAAAGTCTCCAAGGTGGGGGTGTGTGTCGAAGACGGGCTGGATGAAGTAGAGGGTTGAAATACTCCTGAGCAGACGCAGAAAATGGCTCATCCACCCCCACATTCACCCATGGGTTCATCCTCTCATTCATTCATTCCATTGTTCGTTCCTTTATTCACCTGTTCTTTCACCTGCCACCTCTGGGAACTACAAAGTTGAATCCGACTCTTCAGTAAACTGACTGGCCAGTAAAGACAGCCTGTTAGGAGGAAGATGAGGAAATGGGGATTAGCATTTATGGAGCAGCCTCATGTCAGGTACATTCTGATGCTTTGCAGACAGTGTCTGGATTGATTTCCATCACCTTCTTCAGCTGAAGGTGAATTTTATCCCCTTTTACAGATCAAAAAAACTAAGACTCAGAGAAGAGAAGTGACTGTCCAATGATACGCAGCTGGTCAGTTTCAGAGCTGGAATTTAAAGCTAAAGCCCATACGAGATACAGGTGGATGAAGGCTTATGGGAATCAAAAGAGGGAGGAGCCATGGCATTCCAGGGAGGCTTCATGGAGGAGGTGGCTTCTCAGCAGTGAGCAGAGACCGATGTTTTGATTCTCCCCTTTGGAGACTGTGAGCTCCTTGAGGGCAGGATCCTGTTTCTTCCTCATTAGAAAGCCCTTACAGGTGCCAGTCCTGTGCTGAGCACATGTGTGACATGTGTGGGCTCCTGGAATCCTGGGAGATGTAGTATCTGCAAAGGAAGTACTATTATCTCCCATTTACAGACGAGGAGTGTGAGGCTCAGCCTGGGTTCATGACTTTCCCAGGATGGCTAGCATCTGGCAGAGGTAGGATTTGAATCCAGGGCTATCTATGAGCAGTCTGGATGATTGTTATTTGCTTGTTTAACAAATACTCATTTATGTATAAAATGCTTGCTATGTGCCAGCCACTGTTCTAAGTACTTTATAAATACTAACACTTTTAACTTTGACAACACTGTAAAGTACTTACTATTGTTATCCCATTTTCAGATGGGGAAACAGAAGCACAGAGAGGTTAAGTAACTTGCCCGAGGTCACACAGCTAGTAAGTTGCAGATTCAGGATTTGAACACAGGCACCTGGCTCCTTATCACTACATTTGCTGACTCTCATACTCCCTAGATTATATTTTCCCCCTGTCATATTTGTGTTTTCTCCCAGCACCAAACACAACATCTGAAATGCCCCCAGTCTCCAACAAACCTTTACTGACACCTACAGGTATAATGGCGTCCCTGGATGGTGCAAACAGTTAAGCACTCGGCTACGAGCCAAAAGATTGATGCTTTGAACCCACCCAGAGGTGCCTCGAAAGAAAGGCCTGGCAATCTACTTCCAAATGATCACGGCTATGAAAACCCTATGGCGCACAGTTCTACTCTGAAACACATGGGGTCACCAGGAGTCAGAATCGATCTGGTACATGCATAATACGTGAGGATGTAGGTTCCTGCCTGCCCTCTAGGAGCTTGCCTCTAGTGGAGAGACAGAAGCACCCCTCAAGGATTACTGGCAGTTTGGTGGAGTATGCAAACGCCCGTTGCCCACCCCTGCACCCCTACTCCTGGAACAGTGCCTAGCACAGACCAGGCGCTCTGTGGGAGAAATACTGTGCAATGAGTGGATGTGTGCTTTGTAAACTCAGAGTGCTCTAGGAACCCAGAGCAGGAGTGCCAACCAGCCTGGAGGGGCCATCAAGGAAGGCTTGCTGGAGTGGGCAGTGTGTGCACTGAGAGTGAAGGAGGAGTGAGAGCTAGCCACAGGGGGAAGAGGGCAAGGGCACCCCAGGGAAAGGGAACTGTATGTGTGGAGTCAAACTCGAAGTCATGGAAGCTTGACGAGAACAAAATAGTCGGGGGCTGCAAGTGGCAGCAGAAGGCCAGAGGGTGGTGAGGCCAGCTGAACTTGGGGCTGGAGGCTCCACAGTGCTAAGGCAAAGATGTGGCCTCTGTCCCCAGGGCAGTGGGAGCTACTGAATAGGGTTAAGAGAGTCACGCTCTGATCACTCCAACTGCAGGGTGGAGAATGGCTTGTATTGAGTTGTGAGTCCAGCGGCAGGGAGACCAGTTAGCCAGTTGCCCCAGGCATTCAGGAGAGAGATGACAGGTGCAAGGAGCAGTTGGAACAGATACCAGAGAAGTTAGAGATCTAGAAGCTATAGGACTTGGTGGCTGAATGGATGTGGGGCTGAGGGATGGGGAGAGAGTGGAACATGCCTCAATACCTGTTAAGAAATTGCCAAATGTATTGGGTAACCTGCTGTGCATCTAGTCCCTGGAAAGACAGAGAGAAGCACAAGCCACCATTCATGTCTTCCAAAAAAATACTACCTAGCAGAAGAAACAACGATCCTACCAGGAGCTTGTCACACACTAATCCTCACTAACATTTACTACGAGCTTACCCAGTGCCAGACGGTTCTAAGCACTTTACACATATTAGCTCATTCACCCCCCACGACAGCCTTCTGAGGTTAGCACCTTTCTTATCCCCTTATCTTATGATGAAACCAAGGGCTCTGTCACTGGCCCGGGGCACATTTTGTAAATGGTGGAGATGGGAGTTGGCTTCAGAGTCCAAACTCCTTAAGACGGCATAACCCCCTCCTCCACTCTGCACCCTGCAGCTCCGAGGAGGGTGCTGGGTGGGCTGGCCTGGTCACAGGTCTGCCTTCCCGCTAGGTTGCAGCCACTCCAGGGCAAGGACAGTGTCTTTTTCACCCTCTCTGCAGTCACAGGACTAGGTGCATAGTAGGAGCTCAGCTGAAGCTGAATGAAGGACATCCCCACTCAGAGCCAGCTGGAGGGATACAAACACTGCTGACTGCGGGCAAACAGCTTCCTTTCCAGGGTGCGCCTCCTGCTCCAGGGAGCCTGGCCAAGAGCAGAGGTTACAGGGCTTGTACCCAGTGAAGCATCAATTCACATCTTTGCTAGCCGACTATCCAGTCTCCATTATCAGTAGTTGAGACAGTGGGACTCTGCTTCCCAGCAAAGCACAGGTTTCACCAGGCCCCAGGTATGGTACCCCTCGTCTGGGTCAGGTCTGCAGCAGGCTCTGGCTCCCACGGGTTCTCAGCTGTGAAGGCCCACAGGCAGGGTCCCTGCCTGGCCATCAAATCGTTAGTGGTACCAGCACAGCAAGAACAGCCCCTCTGTTCTTTGTTTATGGTTCAGACCACGGCAAGTCCAGGCTCCATCTGCTTGGGTGGGGTGGGGTAGGTTCTTGCTCCCTGTGTGATAGAGGTAGAGCAGTGGCTGGACTAGGGGTGGGCCTCTCTGACAGGGAGGCAGGGCACTGGATGGGCTGGCTCACGTTGTTGTTAGATGCCATCGAGTCGGCTCCAGCGCATAGCGACTTTGTGTATAACAGGAAGAAACATTGCCCAGTTCTGCATGATCCACACAATGGTTGCTGTGTGTCAGTCCATCTCACTGAGGGTCTCTCTCTTTTTCACTGACCCTCCACTTTACCAAGCATGAAATCTTTCTCCAGCAATTGGTCCCTCCTGATGACATATCCAAAGTAATCTCCAAAGACGTATCCAAAGTGATAGGAAAGGTAGGACATTTGGCAAAGCACTGGATCCAGGTGACCCTGGTTAGTTGAGGCAATGGGCTGGCTCCCAGACCAACAACGTGGAATCTGGAACTAGGGTCAAGCAGCCAAGGTTCACATCCTGACTCTGCCATTTAATAGGGATGTCACAACCCTCAGAAGCCTCCGTTTCCTCATCTGTAAAATGGGATAGGAGAGCAAGAGTGAGGATTAAAGGAGAACACTTAGCACAGGGCCTGGCGATGGCAAAGTGTTCCGTTTAACGTTAGCTGTTGCCGCTCTTGCTGCTGTTGCTGTTGCTGTGGGTGCTGTTGCCGATGTTTGTTGTTATTGTTGGGGATGTCCTGAGACCCAGGGCAGCGGCGGGGGGTGCTGGGGATAGTCACTGCTCTTCCCAGCTCACACAGGCCTCAAGGCTTCTCCTCACTCTGCCTCATGGCATGGCCCCCACCTAGCCCACCTGGAAACAGCATAGGCCTAGGAACAAGACAAGGCTGGGTTCAAATCCCAGCTTCACCCCACAACAGTGACCTGGTGAGTCACCTCCCCTCTCCTGACTCAGTCCCTTTATCTATAGAACGGGATGATAGGGAACTTAGCTCTGGGGCTGTGTGAGGACTTCGCTGGTGTGGTGCGTAGTGAGAGAGCCCAGCATAGGGTTGGCCGAGGGGGCAGGGGTGGGAAACGCCATTTCCTTCCTCCTTCTGATCCCCTAAGCTGTCCTGGCAGGGGTGACCGCAAATTCCTTTCTCTCGGGTCAGCAGAGACACGGTTGGAATTTTTCAAAAGGAACTTTGCTAGGACATTAAGAGAAAACAAAGGCCTTTTTATAAAAGTCTG